CAGCGCCACAACTCGTTTACGCGTTGTCTTCAATGCTTCGTGCATCACCTCCAACGGCTCTACGCTGAACGATCACCTGCTTTCCGGTCCTAAACTCCAAACCGAATTACCTTCGATCGTCATGCAATGGCGTCAGTTTCGGTACGTTTACACTGCCGACATTGCTAAAATGTTTAGACAAATTTTGATCGACTCACGCGATATCGACTATCAACGCATCCGGTGGCAGCCGGATGGCCTTGACGCGCCTCGGGATTACAACCTACTGACGGTCACTTATGGCATGACTTGCGCCCCGTACTTGGCGCTGCGCGTACTGAGGTGTCTAGCCGACGACGAGGGTGACCGGTTCCCTCTTGCCGCCTCGATACTTCGTAAGCAAATTTATGTGGACGACGTGCTTTTCGGGGACAATGATGTCGATTCCTTGCGTCAGCGCCGAGACCAGCTTGTTTCCTTGCTGCAACGCGGCAAGTTCGACTTGCGCAAATGGGCTAGCAACTCCCCCGAATTACTCGCGGATATTGATCCTTCGAATCACGGCCTAGCTTGCAGCAAGTCTATCGCGATTGACGAAAAGGTTAAGGTGCTCGGGATCGTCTGGAACCCCGCGCGCGACGTCTTTCAATTCAAGGTGGTTATCGAACCCGACGCTCCCCAGAGCAAACGCACCATTCTCTCTGCTATCGCGAGACTGTACGACCCCCTTGGTTGGGTCACGCCGGTCACCGTCTCTGCGAAAATCATTCTGCAACGGTTGTGGCGCTGTCAGCTTGGATGGGACGATCGAGTTCCGGATTCCGTTTTCGCGCATTGGCAGCTCCTTTATTCGAAGCTGCCGTCTCTCAACCGTCTCTCGCTCCCTCGGTGGACGGGCGCGCAACCGGCGTCCCGTCTCGAGCTGCACGGCTTCGCCGACGCGTCTACTCACGCCTACGCCGCGGTCGTTTATTTGAAAGCGATCACGTCGGATGGCGACGTTACGGTTTCGCTGCTCGCGGGCAAATCCAGAGTCGCTCCGATTTCTCCGCTGACCGTCCCGCGGCTCGAGTTGTCGGCCGCTCTCCTCCTCTCATGTTTAATTCTATTTGTACGACATTCACTTGATCTGGAGTCCGTATCGTGTA